CAATCTTTTGCTAGATATCATGGGTCACAGTTCAACTTATCCTTGTCCTGCACAAGTAAGTCCATGCTTTCTCAAGAGAGCAAGGTTCCAAGAACGTTGGACTTAATAAACACAAGTTAGTAAAATGGAAGACTTTTGATGCTGTTGATTAACGAGTAAAGCATTTTTATAATTGCGTTCAAAAACCAATGTTGTGTGGAGCTCCTGTAGAAAGAACTGTTCTGCTTTGATCACCATATCGTACTTGGGATCATAAACGCCAATTACAAAGGTGTTGAAGCTGTTGATCCAACAACTGCTGAAAGTAGGTGAAGCTAAGTTTCTGTCAACGTCATAGCAAGTATGACTTTACAGGTAGAAACTGCAATAAATTACTGGAGAAGAGGACTTTGTTGAAACTCTAACTCTTCTCTTATTATCATTAACTTAACTAAGCGACTATTTGTAGTTTAGCCGTTTTGCTGAAGTGTTCAAAGCTTGCCTTCAAGAAAACTTAATTTCTGGATATCTTCAGATAATTTAAGAATTATTAGAGAGCTGGATTCAGGCAGGACTACCAAATAGCTCCAAGCAACTTCGCCATTTAGTTTGCGTGTGGCTATCAAAACGAGAATTGAAGTTGATTACTCGCTTGACATCGAAAGTAACATTTATACAACTTTCTATAACTAATTAACTTAAATCAGTGAAAAAATATGATAAACTTCTTTATGCAATAAATTTAGCAAAGATAAACTTAGACTATTTTCGATTTACCATTGATTCAAATCCATTTTCCCTCATCAATCAGGCACCCACACAAAAACTGAAAAATTAAAGCCACCTCAATCGTAATCGATCGAATTTCCCGCCACCATTGGCTATTTTATTCATTCCGACGTCCGGAACGAACACTACCGGCCACGGATTGGTGATGAACCAAAATCGAAAACAATCAAAATTTAATGAGAGCACGTCTGCCGGCAAAATTCATACCACCTGCATGTCTACAGAAGGTGTACCATGAAGCAAGGAAGCAATCAATTCAAAAGCATGGCCTGACATCTGCCCCACGGCTTGACGCTGGAATTATCTCACAACTTTTTCTCGCAAATTTTTTAACTCTGGCTTTCACCATATTTACCACGTGCCCTTACGCGTGATCCTTTGTAATTACATCACCTCATGGAAGCACAAATTGGGCGTCATTATAATTCCAACCGGTGGAACAACCCGCCACGATTCATCCATCTCGAATTACCACCTTCTCCGTAGTGTCCGTAAAATGTTATTTTATAACAACTGAAATCCGACAGATTTTTCAGGGAAAACAAAAAACAATCATAGCAAGCCAATTGTTCATGCAGGGTCTATGTGTTTGTGCAGGTGGTGCTATGGCTATTGGCTGACAAACACACATACACCCGTGGTGAAAATAGACGCCACAAAAGAAGACACCAAAAAATCCGATATGCTGATAGCTGTCAAGAATTAAAATTTCAAACAAAACGTGTCGGTCGACCGACACTCACCAAGTCTGACAGGTTGTTTTCCCTGGAAACAAATAAAAAAAATAACAACGGTACAACGCGGACTGCAATAAAAAATAATAAATTCAGCGAAAACAAAAATTCACGTTCGATTGCTTTTGGGTTAGGGTTTTTTTGTTGTCTGTTATTCGTGTTTGATTTTCCGTACAAGCGAAATGAGGATAGATTGAATTTTAGATCGCAAAGATTTCGCTTTAAAGCGAAACAATTTCAAGCACCCATATCGGAGGAAAAAATCTGTACATTATACAAGCAAATATGTAAACAAAGCCTGTAAATAAGTCTACCAGCATGCACCCTATGCCAATGGGGAAAAGGGGATAGACACATTGTTTTTATTATTCTACCCGCCAGCGCGGTGAAATGGCAGCTCCGGAGAATAAAAATATTTCGTTTTCCTGTCAGTTTAAAGCTTATCGTTTTTATTATTTTTTTCTCACTCCGCCTGCTATGGCGCCGCAGGACTAGGCAAGGGAGAAGAAAATTTAAATGGAAGTGGAGCGCTTTCGATATGGTACCGCGTGTGTTATTCTTTCAGATTTTCCGATTTGGAGGCATCATCAGGCTTGGAAGCCGCACTCCACCCACCGACTGCGAAGCTCGACATGCGGTGTAGGTCAGTTTAGTTTCCACGGCAGGAAAAGGGGTGGTAGCAAAAGTCTGTTTTGGATTTAATTCAAACGATTTATATGCTGCTTCTTTGTGTTTGGTAACAGTTTTTTTTTTCATACTGTTCTAGTTTCAATGGAAGCCATTTGGGCTGGTGTTTTTTGTGTGGGAACAATAGAAGCACATAGATGTCAGCAGCAATTTAATAAAACGGTTGATATGTGCAATATATGCTGGAGAATGTGCTTCCATGCATGAAAATTATGGTATCTAAATTCCACTACTTATTATACAATTAAAGCAGACACAATCAAAATGTATGCAACTGGGAGCAGTACAAAACCATAATTCCTCAAAAATTAATCCAAACGAGAGGTGAAACGTCGTTGCATAGTACCCATATAAATAAAAATGCAGAATTAAAAAAGAGAGTTGCTTTGATTGACAAAATTGTCAGACTTACAATTTTCAATGCCGCAATTATCTTATTTTACCTACTTCCATTCTAACATGAAACTTCTGCAATGGAACACAACTCATTAAACAAACAAGAGGAGAGGAGAAAGTTTTGAAAACTCATTACACTTGTCACCGTCACCACGCGTGTAGATCTGTGTATGCGTCACGTCACTTCTATCCATATTAATGAAGTGACAATTTAAGAGGAATAACTGGTGCGGTATGCAAATTTGCGAACAAACCAAACGAGAGACATTATTTATTCAAACACAAAGTTGGCACAAGCTGCCTCCTATGATTACGGTGAATTGTTTACATTATTCAAATAAGGTTTATTCTTCTCTTGGAATGGAAATCGAAACAATGTTCTCAATAAAATTGCAACATGCCATATCAAAAGAACGATCAAAAATCCCTCTCTTCTAGTTGTTATTGTTACAGGATTTCTGCACTGCTGGAGGACTGCAGTCCGCAAAAAAATAGCTTTGTTTCACTATTATTCCTGGTGCAGCTGCTGCAGGCTCTTTTCAGAGATAGCTAGCGGTAGATACTCGGAATGAGAATGGCAAAATGGAAGAAAAATTAAATTTGTAGTGTGGAAGCTCCTCCAGCAAGAACAAACAACAGACAATTCAACTCACTGCAGCATCGGCTCCATCATCCAGGGATGTCACGACCAAATAATGTCCACACGTTCTCTTTCGTGTCGAAACTTTTTGACATTTTTGTCAAACGGCCTACTTCGATCGGTTGACTTTTTAGTTGACATTTTACAGCAGTTGCTCCGGAAAATTCCAACCCTGGTGATTGCCTTCGCCTTCGCAGTGAAACGTGTTTTAAAAACAATCGAAAAGCTTTTTTCTCTTGCTTCAGTAGGAAAAGCAAAACAGTCGCGCACCACGATACTCAGACAATTAGACGCGAAACTGGTAAGAATGGAATCGCTTTTCCTGTGGCGGAAATCGTACTGCTGCCACAAACAACCGTTAGGTATGGTACCAAGGCAGAACTTCACACTCTTTTTCAACTTTCACCAACTGTCCGGCTCCGACGAGCCGAAAGTAATTGTCGGGAATCTGTTGGTTGCTTCTGCTTCGATGGTTTGCTAGTTCCCAAGAGTTTTAGCTTCCCTTTTTCTGCGCTTCCATTTTCATTAAATTTTATGTTTTTTTTTTCGGTACCCTGGTGGGCAATTTTACGCTACGATTCTATTAAGATTGGCGCGTTCCATTTTCATTTGCGTTGAGTTTTTTTTGTCGAGCTTCCCCAGAGCAAAAAAAACTTGTTCAACTCAGTTTGAACGTTTAAAATACAGCCACCGATGTATTGTTCAATGTTTTCTTGAATAAGGCGATTAAGTTTCAATTTGAAACTTCAATTCCTGGAAACGCTACCCAAGGATCAATCGTAATTCAAGTTTGTAGCAACTTTTAACTACCGTTAAATCTTCGCCTTAGTACAATCGTACGACAGGCTCTAACGGCATTGTTTTTCCGCCCTGGAACCCGCATCAACAGGAGTCACAATTTATAAAAGTCTCCAATAACAACGTAATGCGGAGTCTTCAGTGGCAAAACCCTCCCGCTTGATGGCAGTAAGCATAATTTATGGAGGCGGATTAAAAAGTTTCCTGTCATCGTCGTAGCAAGCGGAGCGTTTTCTTATACAAGTTCATGTACCTACCGCACACGCCTACTATGCTCCGGAGGGTGGAAAAACCTCGTCCATCCGTCCGTAAGAATTTGCATCGCCTTTTTTCCACTCCTACTGCCGAGCGTAGCTGACAGCTCCGGACTGCAATGTTGACGACTCCTAGCTGCTAGATACTACTGGAGGATGAGCCGAAGAGTATGCCGTCGCCACCGAGCGAAAAGTGGCTAGAATATAAATTTCCAGTGAAATGTGCTGACGGAAAACCGAAGGATTGGATGCGAAAAATTGGATGGCATGGAAAAAAAATCCGCTGAAGTAACCACTTTTGAGCTGCGACGGCAACGACGACGACGTCGAGCAATGGGCGGAAATGCTTTATCCTATTAATCAATCAAAATTTTCAGCACCTAAATTATGAGCGTGAAGACAAGTAGGAAGCGAAAACTGTCATGTTTATTGTAAGGTGGACAAATCGAGCTGAAGTAATTTGACAAATCTCGGAGTGCCTTGATTTTTTGCTCAGAACAACCATACGCCACGACACTGGGCCTACTGTGTTATGAATTAACGTTTCGTCACTCGACTGACGGCATTAATTAATTATGAATCGGATAGACTTTTCTCAAATAGTGAACACCCTCGCCAGTTGCAAAATTGTGCAACTGTTTGCTCACTAACAGAAATTTTGCATAAACTTTTCATATAAATATCGCTCTTCTCACTATTGGCAATTATCAGTTGAACTGAACAGTTAGCAAAATGTTGAAACTACTGGCGTTTGCTCTCGTACTAATCGCATCGGTTCTCTCCGAGCCCAAGCCCGATCTCACGGTACCGGCTACTATCACGGGCGTCTCCATCGGTAGCTTGGACACCAACGGGAACATCGTCGCCAACGTGGACCGCATCCTGGCAACCCTGAATCAATTCCAATCCATTGTCCAAAGTTTGTACTACATCAAATCGCCTGAATATACAGCTGCGGCTGATAACTTCCGCTACGTGATGGACAGTTTGGTGGAAGCCGGCGGTCCCATCTTCCAAGCACTGTCTAACGTTGCGAAGGTCTCCTCTGGGAACGTCGAACGATCCTTCGATGGAATCCGTTCCGACATCAATTACGCCGTCGAGCTGAACGATGAGCATTTGAGTCTGGTAAATCAAACTCGAACAATCCTTGGCGACAGAACAGCGAACTACTTCGATGGGACCCTCAGCAAGCTGGCAGCTAACCTGGGAAACGTCACCGATCTGTTGAATAACATCCAAAAAGCGGTCGTACAGATCCGACAGCTGAATCCTCGGACGCAGGCAGCCGTAAACGGGCTACTTCCGAACTCCGACATTAAAGCGTTGAATGCCATACTCAGACAGTACATTCAGATTGGCGATGCTGCTATTCCGGAAATCCGATCCGTGGTGAGCCGTGTACAGACTGTTGACAATTTCCAATCACGGCTTCGTTCGCTGTTTGATCAGTACCGGCAAAGTCTTGACGCATACGTCCAGCGAACCACTACACCGTACCTGAATTCCTATGTCATCAGCGTTCTTTCAAACGGGTTGACTGACCTAAGGAAACAGCTGGTGGACAGAAATTCAAAGGATACTGTCACTGTGGCGAATCTACTACTGAATGGCAACAGTCTTTTGAAAGAAGCTGCCAACAGCACCATTCCGGTTCTTCAGTCCCTTGCAGCGAACTTGTCAAATAGTTTTGACGTCCTTCAAAATCAAGTCAAGACGTTACGAGTTTCCGAAGATTTACCATACGCAGTGATGAACATGACCGAGAATTCGCTTAACGAAGCCATTCGCGATATATCACTTATGATGACCCAGAGAGTCAACAAATCGGATAGCTGTTTCGCACGGTTCAACTACCAATTCGATACGATCCCCAGGACAGTCTACGGGCTGCTGTACAGCTGCCTATCCAGTACAAGAACCGATTTGGCTCAGATGGCTACCGCAATGAACTACGTTGCCGGTTTGGTCAAGATCGATGTTAGCAATGAACTCTCGTCGGTGGAGAACTGCGTCAATATGATTACGCAATACTCGACCGACATGACGAAATACCAAGCGGCTACCTGTTTGAATGAGGTCCGGAATTATCTAGCAGGTCGGAAGGTCTACACGCAGCAGTTGGCCAACTATCAACGGCTGCTGGAAAATGAAGTTTCGTATAGCGCCGGGAGGTACGACTTCTGCATGATGACTTCATTGCGACAGGGCCACACGATGGTCAACTATCTGAAAGGCTCGATTGGTGAATGTGTAGGCATTGCACCAACCGTGACGCCATTCAAGTTCAAAATTGGCGGCAAAGTAACCATCCGATTCGGATAAACATAAAAATAATCTAGTTATCATTGAATTGTAAAGAATCATTCGGCAAATATACCATCATAGCAATCTATCTTCATCGCGTTTCAATGCAAGTAATAATCATACTAATCGAAAGCAAACTTCAAGTTATATTCAAAGCATCGATTTGCAAAAACCAATTGAGCTTAATATTGAAGCAGCTATACCCCGAAAATGTAAAATGATGATCCCGGGAGGGTAAATTTGCTCTGTTCCCAATCAATGGATTTTCATTGCAAAGAATCGAACTGCGGTGGGGAGAAAAAAAAAGTGTTATTTCCCTGTTCCGGCTTGTTTACGCTAGCCTCAACCCTACATTCTTCCATCACTGTTCCCACTGACGACGGCGCCGGTCGCCTACTATGAATCGAATCACGTAGTCTGTGAGTTGGAAGGAAATGTTCGTGGAAGAAACAGACGCTCCAAACCATTTTTTTCCTCTGTAGCGAAAAAAAAATCCAACGAACCAGATGACGATGATAAGGATCATTAATATTGAGGATTTTCGGATCCGATCCGATCCGGGTCTCGCTCCTCGGTTCGGAATTTATATGAAATGTAAATAAGGATGGATCCCATCAGTCAGATATGATGGGCTCACGTAGATGAAGTTTGATTCAGGTACGCCTTTTTAGTGATTTTTAAAATGTAAAGGAAAAACGCTATGAGCTTAAATTAAGTGCCTCTTTGCACTCTTCTGACAGGCCACATCAAAACGTCATGTATGCCCGCAGTAAAACGATTAATTCGAAACCGTAGCCTTGGTTGGTCGTAGTCAGTCTATGTGTTTGATGTGACCTACTCTACGGTTGAGAACAATGACAGAACCAGAGAACCTGGCTTAGGGGCTACAAATATTAATGACATTCGCTTGTACCCTGTCGGCATGAAATCCGTCCTCATTCACACTTGTACAGAGCAGACACCGGCGCGGCCACGGAGCTCTCGTCGTCGTTTTCGAGTGCCAGCCGGGAAAAACGTGAAAAGTTAGATGACAAAGAATCCATCCACCACTCCACCATCGACCGCCTACTTTGGTTGGCAGATGAGGCCTATTGTGTGTGTGTGTGTGTGTGTGAGGTGAGTGTATGTCGAGTCGCAGTAGAGGGTGACTGAGCTGAGACCAGAACGTGGCACCATTTTGTGGTCACCTTGCCTCTGCGAACTTTCCGACGCGCCCCAAAAGTGGTTCAAAATCCCACTCCGTCGTGCCCCGGAAAAAGCGGAACGTGTATGTTCATAAGTGTTGCTGTTATTTATGCTCTCCTCTATGTGGTGACGTGATTAATGATCATCTCTCTTTCGGTGCTCGAAAGATAGCGAAAGGTGCTCCACACTGCGGGGAGGGCGATGACCACCATGACACCATACCATACAGATACGGCGGACGGTGAGGGCGAGAAGCCGCTGTCAGGAAAAACCGCAAGCAACCACTTTCATCCTGTCAACCAAGCGAGGGAAGCGCTGAAGCGTTTTTCACCAGCCAGGAGAGCAATGTCATGCCTTGACTGTGTTCACAAATTTTAGCTAAAATTGAAACTGGGCCGACTTCGTCTGAAATGCATCAACTATTTCCGTTGCGCTTTAACGTATAAGCCATGACTATTAGATTCAATTCAATTCAGGATCAATTACTACTGAGATGACTTAAAAGCATCATGTGCCATTCTGGCGACCTCAAAAATGATCTCAGTTTATAAAATACATTTCCAAATAAAAAATAATCCAATTAAAGTGACACCCACGATTAAGCCATTAACGTCCATCCTATCCCACGGTGAATTTTAACCCTATTGTAATTCACAACCAAATAAAAAAGATTGAATCAACACCACAACAATATTGCCAGCTTATGCCACCGGCAATGATTCCGCTTTCCCAAAGCCAATCCCAATTAAGCGCTGAAAATAGCTTAATCCACTCGGCCGACTATGCATGGGAATCTCAATGAAACAATAGTGTACACCCCCCCCCCCCCCCCCCTTTCCTGCCTACGAAGCCCAGAGGGCGAAAAAGTGATAATTTTAATCGGTTTATCACCATTTATTGCCCGACGCCCATAACCATAATCATAAAACACATTAAACGATGCATTGGACTCAATCCGCAATGTGAAAATGTACCCGACCATCCCGATGAAAAACGTTAATAACTGATGTAATCTCTTTTTTGTCCGTTCCCTCTCCCTTTTTTTAGGCCAAAGAAGAAAAAAAACAATGTTCACGCACACGTGGCCACTCGCGATAAAAACATCTGTCAACGGGTGGAAATCCCAGCAATCCAGGATTTCGACCATCGACGAGAAGAAATTGCCTTCGCCCGCCTACCTGGATGATGAATAAGCAAATCTGAGCACCGGCGAGGAGAGCGATGATACGTTGTAAGCATTAATTATTGAGAGGCTTTTAGCACCCATTCTCCTGATGGTCAAGTAGAAGGCTTCGACAGCAGCAACGCCGAATATCAATTACGAGTAAGTGAATTTTCACTAAATCCATAATTAATTATAATTAATGTTTTCATAAATTTATAATGACCCCAAAATGCCGCTGGCTCGTGTGGATCGCGAGCATGAGTGCAAGGGTCCATAAACGGGACACTCCGTTATGACTCCGGCGTGTGACCACTGGCCATCGGCAATGTTTGCAGTCCAACGCGTGGGTGCATTTAATGGCTAAAAGCGGTTCATAAATCGATTCAACCCTACCCCGGCATTGCGTCCCTCGTGGTCATTCAACTCTTTCGCTGCCGGAGGCGGACATTCTCGTTAGTCATATCACGCAAAAAGAGCACACACAAATAGGGGGCAGGGCACGGACAGGACGCCAAATACCAATTTCCATATATTTCACAATTCATTCACTATTTTGTGGCTTTTGATTAATTTTTATTTTTATAATAAATTTAACTTTGCCTGTCGCTTGAAACCAAAAAAAAAAACATTGATTAATACACCTACCAGTGAAAAATGCCTTTCACGTATGGCATTAAATAGCTATATTAGACTGCAGGGAGATTTATTTTTTATGGCTTTCTCAGTCTAGGGAAATCCAAATGGTCAGTTATGCATTGCCCGCCGTTTCGGCCGTATATTGTGGCCTTTTTCAAGGTAAAACAACAACAAATGAGAAAGTTTAATGTTTGACACTCAATATAACTTCCCCAGGTATATTCAAATCATGTGCGGGTGTGAGGGAATAAAATAATAATGTGCAACTTGGAGGCACATTAGCTCAAGAACAAATTGTAAAATAGCCGTTACTGCTTTTGTAGACAATGACTTCAAACAAAAACTACTAGCCCACCCACCTAAACTAGCTCAATAACAATCAACTTCATATCAACTTCAGTGACCATAACATGAAATTAAGTTATTCAATATTACACGAGAAAGGCATTTGTCACCAGTAAGTGGATTAATCAGAGTTTCACTTTTTTACCATATCTCCGGAACCAAACGTCCGATCGGAATGGAATTCAATGGGTCTTATGAGAAATATGGTTGCACTCAAATCGGATCAGTCTTTTCCCAGAAAAGTAAGTGAGTAACGAACATTTTTACCGTCTACTCAAGCAAAAAGGGAACATACTCATACATACATTTTCCGATCTAGTCGAACTGAGTCACTCAACCTTCCGGACCTCCTATTGAAAATGTGTTTATCGAGTGATATTATAGCCTTTCGGTACACCTAGCTGTACGAGAAAGGCAAAAATGCTTCACAACATTGAACTGTGCTGGTCGTTTATAAAAATAACAACGACAACCTGTTTCCTCACTATCTGTGCCCTGCGTGGCCGAACAATGAAAACGCTGAACCCAGGCAGGACACACCGCAAAATCGGTGATTCCATAAAATGCATAGAGGCCATAAATATTAAAACGAACTTGAACAGCTTCCAAGGGAAAAGTTGGCATTTGTGTGATTTTTTACACATAGGGCAAGCTATAAATCTGAATTTTGTTTCAAACTTGGTGTAACCGCTCACTGCCAGGAACACCTACTATTTGCATGACCCTTTTGATCGACTATCGTGAAAAAAAAACCATATCGAGTGAGTACATCGTCGGACAATTGAGATTTACCGAAGCTTGAACTGCACCCACCTAGCGACCGAGAAGTGGGCACTTTGCCGGATTTTGCCTCTACCTCGTTTTGAAGAGCGGAAATCAATTTATTACGAGTGTCACTCAAAACGTTATCATCGTTGCTTGTAAATGTTGTAATTAAAATGATGTTTTATGGGAAGTTCGCATCATGCAATGAACAGATTCCCCGATTTGATTTTCAAACGTAAAACATAAATTTATGTGTGAAACGATACCATTATTGCTAAACGGAGGAATTTACTACATTTTTGGCACAGTAATATGATTTCACAAAATAGAGGTTGATTTCGCGTATTTGTATTATAACAACCCATGCATGTTTAGCTTAAGTTTGAGAAGCAAAGTTTCCACATTTTTACTGACATTGGAGGGTCAAAACTAGAACTATTTCGAAAATTAGCACATTTATTCTGATGGATTTGAGAACTTAATAAAATCTTTCCAATTTTAATGTTGGCTCAATGTCAAATCTAACTAATCATTTTATGGACCTAACTTGCAGTTTAATGTAAGCGAGAATTGCGTTCGAACCCGATTTTACCGTAGTTTAATAATTACATTAAAGTATTAAGAAGGACATAATTTATGAGTTCTTCTTACTCTTCCTTGGAAGCAACTTGAGCTCAGCTTCCACTTTCATCCGTTCCCTCAACTGCATTGCTTCTGTTTTTTTTCCTTCAGCACCGCCAGCCGCTTGGTCTCTTCTTCGTCCTACGATGCAGTCTTGAGCAAACTTGTAATTTTTCAAAGGGTCCTAAGTAACAAATGCATAGTGGATGAAAAGAAAATCCCGCGTCCTGAAATACTCATAGGTTTCTTCCCTTGGAGTTCAGAGGACAAAAATGAGAAAATTCTGACTCTCCTAGAAAGTCAAAACGATGGGTTGGCTGTTGATGCATGGAAGATACAGCAGCGCAACGTAAAAAACCAACATGTAGAAC